GGGAAACGGGAGAAGAAGACGGGGGAAACGGGGGATAAGAGGAAACAGAACGAACGGCGCCGTCTAACGGCGTCTAATGGCTGTCGGACCAGCTGACAGCGCCACGTCGGCAAAAACCGGGCCCCACCTGTCATAAATCCACTAACGGTGCCCGATCCGCCGATCAGTGGTATTTGCAAATTGTTTACGAGAGAGTTGGTGTTTTTTGCCAAGAAACTGTAACGTAGTGATTTCTGCTAACCTAGCCCTCAAACTGGTGGTTTTCTGCAATTTACTCCTGATAGATGCGAAGCAGGGGTCCCAAATAGCACCTGAATCCCGGGCATAATCTGCAGCACCCGAGCCAAGACCATGGAGTTGGCTTCACCATTAGAGAGTGACTACATAGAGGGCAGGGTAGGCAGCGACGGCAAATTAGCCCTAGCACGGGGGATTAAAACATCATATGGCTCCATTTCAATGTCCTCTATGGAACAACACTGGCATCACGAAGAGGAGATGACACAGGAGCGCTCTACAACACGACCCGCACAAGAGATAGCCTGCTGAGGGCAGCCCCCGCTCGCCCCGGATAGCTCCCAATCCACACCAGCCAACCATGCAAGTTGCTTGACTGTGCCGCCAAGGACTGTAGCACCACAAATCACATGATGATGCCAAGGCAACAAAAGCAGAAACTATCGTCACCAAATATACATTATAAATGTGTATCACATGATGATGCGTTTATTAACATTGTGTTTGGTGAAATTTTAATTGTTTTTAACAAAAAACAATGTTACACATTTATGGGTTATGTTACACAACTGTATTTTTTGATAAAGATGTTACACAATAGTATAAAATTGTCAAACATTTATGGATTATGCTACACAATTGTGATTTGTTGTTCCGACTTCCGAGTGTGCTTTATCCATTATAATTTGATTTGATGATGAAACTACATGACCAAAATGCCAGCAACTTGGTGCTACTACATTGTACGTATACCTAGACGAGAGGCATACGAGTCCCATCTTGTACGTACATAGATTTCACATTTCATCAGCTGCTGACCGCGAATGGGCTATGGACTGTATGTTTTCCATCTGACCATGTTATGGAGCCTATGAGGGCGGCCTTGGCCGCTGTGTTCTTGCCAGAGAAGGTGACCTGGAAAGCCAGCTTCTTCACGCTGCCGGTGAACTGGAGCTTGCTGGGCGCGACCTTCACATCCAGACCGGCCGGCGCGCTGACGGCGACGGTATATGTGGCTTCTTCCTGCGCTCCGACGTTGGTGACCTCACGGGTCACTGTCCTGCTGGCGCCGGCGCCGAGCCCCGTGACGGCGATCGACGGGTAGTTGAGGTCGGAGATGAGGTCCTTGCTGGCGTTGCCGGCGCAGCTGAAGGCGGCCGGAGGGGAGGTGATGAGCTTGATCTGGGACGCGCCGTAGCCGTAGTTGCAGAGGAAGCTCAGGTAGTCGTCCGCCGCGAGGTCGTACACCAGCCCGGGGTCCAGCGCGCCGGTCGGGTTCACCTGCCCTGCGCCGTAGTCGAACGGCGTCGCCGCCGTCCCTGCGTCGGTCGTCATTGGAGCCTTGTCGTTGTTCAGCTGAGTTGCTGCATGCCACGCGGTAGACACGGTCGAAATTCAGACTTTGAGCCCCTGGTATGCATGGACACGATTAATCTGTCAGCTTGTTTTGTTATGTACGTACCTGTTGTCATGATGGCTGACCGGATGGCGGCCGGGCTCCATGTCGGGTTCCAGGCCTTGACGGTGGCCGCGGCCCCGGCGACGTGGGGGCAGGCCATGGACGTCCCGGAGACGAGGTTGAACTGCGACGGCTGCTTCTGGTCGGCCGGAAGTGACGTCGTTGGGATCCACGACGCAAGGATGTTCACCCCCGGGGCAGCCACGTCCGGCTGCACATACCACATGGATGCGTTAGTTTGCATACACACCGACACAACACCTGGCTAAGGGCCGGTTTAGGCTGAACTCAACCTTGAGGATGTTGCCGGTTTGCGCCGACGGGCCCCTGGATGAGAAGTAGGCCACGACGGGCGCCGGCTTGTACTCCGTCACGGTGATCGTCGGAGTGATCGTCGCGACAGGGTCACTGATTTCATGCATTGAGAGTGAGCTTGACAGGTGCACTGGGAATGAGCTTAACTGGAAGATATTGGTGCATTGTACAAGTGCGTACCTGGTGGAGGCAATGTACTTGTGAAGGTCGGCCGCGGCGGCGGAGGTGATCTCCGTGACGGGGAAGTCGAGGTAGGCGGTGGTGACCGCCCTCCCGAAGTCGTTCACCAGGATGGCCCCCACCGCCCCGGCGCTCTGGAGCTCGTCCACCTTCACCATCTTAGACGTGTCGCTCTGCGAGTGGTTGCACAGCACGATCTTGCCCTTGATCTTGCTGGCATCCAGGGTGCCGGGCTCGCAGTGACTGCACCAAAACATTCGAGCAGGGCATAATACATGAGAAACACGATGAAATCACATCACGGGTATTGCATATGGTCCTCTGGTAGCTTATTGAATTGGTTCGTATATGTGTTACCTTGCGGAGTCAGAAGTACTAGAAGCTGAACTAGACTTTGCTGATGCTCCTGCGATCAACGGGTACTTCGGGGATTTGTCCAGGTTGGAAAAGTTTATAGCCCCACCCTGCATTGACACGATCAATAAAAATAGAGTTAAATACCCTAAAAAAGAGTTAAAAAAAACTAGGAAACTAACAAGTGTCAGGATGCAGCAAATTAAGGCAACGCATAGTACCTTGACAGCGGTGCTATTTCCACCTAGCACGACGTCCGACTCGAAGTCGCGGTCGATGGTCGTGGCCGCCACCGTCATGATCCACGGCGCCGCGTTCACCACCGTGGAGGCCTCCGGCCCGGCGTTGCCGGCCGAGCACACCACCATGACGCCCTTCGCCACGGCGTGGAACGAGCCGATGGCGATGGGGTCCTCGGAGAAGTCCGGGGAGAAGTAGGGCGACGCGCCGAGCGAGACCGAGATGATGTCGACGCCGTCGCCGATGGCGTCGTCGAAGCCGGCGAGGATGGCCGACCCGGCGCAGCCTTCGTCCGAGCAGACGCGGTACATGGCCACCCTCGACGCGGCCGATCCCCCCTTGGCGGTGCCCTGGGCCAGCCCGTAGTACGAGGCGCCGGTCACCGCGTTCCCAGCCGCCGTGGACGACGTGTGCGTCCCGTGGCCCGCCGCGTCCCGCGGCGACCCGCTGTTGCTCCGGGTCCGGCCGCCGTCCACCTCGCCGAGGTCGTAGTACCTCGCTCCGATCAGCTTCCTGCACCGCAAAATTAATCAAGTGCGACGACACATGTCACGTACGCGACTTACGACAGTGTGTGACTCACTTGTTGCAGTTGGAGGAGTTGAAGTCGTCCCCGGCCATGCAGACGCCCTTCCACTTGGTCGGGACGGGCCCGAAGCCGGCGTCGTCGAAGCTGGGGGACTCGGGCCAGATGCCGGAGTCGAGGAGGCCGATGATGGTCTCGGTGGTGGGCGCCGACGTCGACGCCGCCGTGGGTCTGGGCGAGCGCCGCTTAGCCGAGTCGATCTTGACGTCCGTCTGCTGCAGGAAGTCCCAGGACCTGGTGGTGTGGAGCTGGTACACGGGGTCGGCGAACACGGAGACCACGCCGGGCTTGCGCCTCAGCGCGGCGGCCTCGTCCTTGGACAGCCGCGCCGCGAACCCCGAGAAGCCGTGCTTGTACTGCTGCACCACTACGCTCTGCGCCAGCTTCCCCCTGCGGCTGGATATCAAACGCCGTGCGATTTACTTTTTGAATATTTGACATTTTTTAACTGAATAAATCTGTAAGCGCGCGTAGAGGCGGAGCTGCATGCACGCGCACCTCTTGAGAATGGTGCCGACGAGGCGGAGGTGGCTCTGGCGGAGGAAGTCAGGCGAGGTCCGTGGCGGCACGGCGCCCATGTACACCACGTACACCTGGCTCCCGCTCTCGCCCCGGCACCCTCCCGGGGCGACCAGAAGAGCGACGACGACAACGAAGCAGAGCGGGAACCACATGGCCGTGCCCTATCTATGATGTATCTACTGCTCGTTAGTTCTGTCAGTTGAACGCTGTGTAAGCTACTACTTGCGTCCTTGCAATGTGCACTGTCCGGCCATGAGCTGCACCATTTATAGGCAAGGCGTGTAAGACAATAGGCTTTGGGGGAACCGGCACAACCCTCTAGGGGTGGCCTATCACATATATATATATAATGAGGTGGTATACAACGTTACAATATACACATGTAAATACAGTCTAACACCCTCCCTCAATCTTAGCCACTTTCTAATGAATCTAGAAGGGTAAGATTGCGCCTGCAAGTCTCAAACTGTGGCAAAGGCAATGGCTTGGTGAAGATGTCAGCAAGTTGATCCTTGAAAGAATTAAACTTGATTTGTAGTTGCTTCTGAGAGACACGTTCACGCACAAAGTGATAGTCAACTTCAATGTGTTTCGTTCGGGCATGGAATACCGGATTTGCAGAAAGGTATGTAGCACCGATGTTATCACACCAAAGAACAGGAGGCTGTGATTGGGGTATACTTAACTCCTGAAGCAAGGATTGTACCCAGATAATCTCTGATGTGGCATTGGCCACAGCCTTATACTCAGCCTCAGTACTGCTACGCGAGACAGTAGCCTGTTTCCGAGCACTCCAGGCAATCAGGTTAGAGCCAAAGAAGACAGCATAACCCCCCGTGGATCGCCTGTCATCCGGATTGCCAGCCCAGTCTGCATCAGAATATGCTGAAAGACAACCAGAGTCAGACGGCCGAATATGCAAACCATGAACCACCGTGAAACGAATATAGCGCAAAATCCGCTTAACAGCAGACCAATGAGTGTCACGGGGTGACTGCAGATACTGGCAGACTCGGTTAACAGCATAGGAAATGTCTGGTCGCGTGATCGTCAAGTACTGGAGCCCACCAACAATACTCCGGTACTCGGTCGCATCAGAAGAAGAAAGAAGCACACCATCAACAGCATTGAGCTTATCAGTGGTAGACATGGGTGTAGTCGTCGGTTTGCGCTTAAGCATCCCAGCTCGCTGCAACAAATCCAGAGAGTACTTCTTCTGCGTCATAACAAGGCCAGCAGCACGAGAAGTAACCTCCACACCAAGAAAGTAATGAAGCTTCCCAAGGTCCTTGACCGCAAAATCAGCACCAAATGAGCGAACAAGCGCAGTAGCAGCCGACTGAGAGGAGCTGACCAAAATGATATCATCTACATAGACCAACAAGTACATAGTAACCTCAGGCCTTTGAAGAAGAAACAATAAGGAGTCAGCAGTTGATGATGCAAAACCATGAGCACGAAGAGCCATTGCAAGACGAGCATGCCAAGCACGAGGAGCCTGCTTCAGACCATAAATTGCCTTGGACAGACGACAGAGATGATCAGGGCGATCCGGATCAGAGAAACCCGGAGGCTGGCGCATGTAAACCTCCTCCGCCAAGACACCATGAAGAAAAGCATTTTGAACATCAAGCTGACGAAGAAACCAACCTCGAGTAACAGCCAGAGAGAGAAGAAGTCTGATGGTAGTAGGCTTGACCAATGGACTGAAGGTGTCTTCATAGTCAAGTCCAAAACGCTGTCGAAAACCACGAGCAACCAGACGAGCCTTATAGCGCTCAATGGACCCATCAGAATGCTTCTTCACTTTGAAAACCCATTTGGAATCAATGACATTTACCCGTGATTGTGGAGGAACAAGAGTCCATGTCTGATTGCGAAGAAGCGCTTGATACTCCTGCTCCATGGCCTCTCTCCAATGAGGAATGCGCATAGCAGCTTGATACGTGCGTGGCTCAGAGGATGGATCTGCGAGAGCAGCAGACATGCACGCCGCTAACCAAGCAACTGTGCCATCGTGACGTTGCTTAGGCTGAAAAATGCCACTCCGACTGCGCGTATGTGGACGTAGAGCAGCAGCAGGAGCCGGCGGAGGCGAAGGTGACGGAGACGTGACGGTCGCCGGAGATGCAGGAATCACCTCAGGCGAGCTCGGGACAGACGACTCCGGGCTGCATGGCGAAGACTGGCCCGACGACAGGGGCTCAGAGGCCATGGGCGAACCGAGGGTGGGCGAGGCCAGCTCCGGTGACACCGGCCCAGACGGCCTTGGCGAGGCGAGAGCAGGCGAGGACGGCCCTGGTGAGAAGGGCCCAGACACCCTGGGCGAGGCAGGGGCGGGCGAGGCCAGGCCTGGTGATGACTGCCCCGACGCCCTGGGCGAGACGGGGACCGAGGAGGCCGGCCCAGTCGGCGGGGTTGCAGGGCGCGACGATGGCGAAGGCAGCCCAGAAGCCAGAGGCGACCGGGCCAGGACGTCGATCGGCCGTGCATGAGCACGGAAACCGAGGCCATGCAGAGGCGCCATGCGCTCCTCATGCACAACAGAAGGTGCCGAGGATGAAGGCGATGGCGACGAAGAGGAAGATGGCGCTTCCAGAATCTCCAAACGAGCCCCACGACCAGTGCCTGCACCATGGTTAGGCAACAATAGAGGAGAATATGCAACATCATCAAATTGGTCAGAAGCAACAGAGGATGAATGCATGACAGGTGGCTCGGTAGTGGACACAGGGAGTTTGGCAAAGGGAAAAACATGCTCATCAAACACAACATCCCGAGAGATGTAGACACGATTAGTGGGAACATGAAGACATTTGTATCCTTTATGAAGAGAGCTATAACCAAGAAAAACACACTTCTTGGAACGAAACTCGAGCTTACGCTTGTTATATGGACGAAGATGGGGCCAGCAAGCACACCCAAACACCTTGAGAAAGGTGTAGTCCGGTTGTTCATTAAGGAGAACTTCAATGGGAGTCTTCATATTCAAAACACGAGTGGGAGTACGATTGATGAGAAAACATGCAGTGGTGAAAGCATCACTCCAAAAACGAAACGGAACAGATGCATGGGCCAAAAGAGTCAGACCAGCTTCAACAATGTGACGATGCTTACGTTCTACTGAACCATTCTGCTGATGTGTATGTGGACATGCTAAACGGTGAGTGATCCCAAGCGACTGAAAGAAGGAGTTGAGGTTGCGATACTCGCCACCCCAGTCCGACTGAACATGAACAATTTTGTGCTTGAGAAGGCGTTCAACATGTTTTTGGAACTGAACAAAAATGTCAAACACATCAGATTTATGTTTGATAAGATAAAGCCAGGTAAAGCGGCTGTAAGCATCAACAAAACTGATATAATAATTATGACCACTAACAGAAGTCTGAGCAGGACCCCATACATCTGAAAACACAAGTTCTAAAGGATGTTTCACCTCACGACTGGACTCGAAAAAGGAAGTTGATGACTCTTCCCCTGCTGACAAGCATCACACACTGCTACATCTTTATTACTAGACACACTAGGAAGCTCATGACGATGCAAAACATGCCGGACAATAGGTGTGACCGGGTGACCAAGACGAGCATGCCACTGTGACGGAGATACCCGAACTCCACTGAAGACGCGAGCGACGCCAGGATGCTCCAGACGATAGAGACCTTGGCAGAGCCGCCCACTAAGAAGAATGTCCCTCGTGCCCCGATCCTTAATAAAAAGATCAAAAGGATGAAATTCACAAAGCACATTATTATCACGAGTGAGTTTAGGAACTGAAAGAAGATTACGTGTCACAGATGGAACTCGAAGAACATTGCGAAGTTGAAGACTCCTATTGGCATGTCTAGTGAGAAGTGATGCTTGACCAATATGAGAGATGTGCATACCTGCTCCATTGGCGGTGTGGATCTTGTCGGAGCCATGGTAGGGTTCACGAGTGTGAAGCTTCCCCATCTCACTGGTCAGGTGCTCTGCCGCCCCAGAGTCCATGTACCAGTGGGGATCAATGGAGTAGGACTGAGTGTGTCCCTGTGGCTTCTGCGGCGGCAGACGATCAGCCATGGCGACCTGGCGAGCAAAGTTGCGTGTATCCTTCCCGTCATTGCCAAGACCAAGAAAACCCCGCTGGAAGCGCTTGTGACACTTCGAGGCCCAGTGCCCATCGCGACCACAAAGCTGGCACACACGGGGACCGCCAGCCCCTGGTAGCGTCGCAGTAGGAGGAGGGGCCGAGGCGGGTGGTGGTGACTGCCCCGAAGGAGCCCTGGATGAAGCAGAGGAGCGACCACCCTTGGTGGCGGCGTTTGCCGAGAGGGCGCCGTTGCCCCTGGATCGGCGCGTCTCGACTCGTTGCTCAGTAAGCAGGAGGCGTGAAAAGACCTCGTGTGCTGGCATGGGCGTGGAGTTGCCCCTCTCATTGATGATCTCGACTAGGGCGTCATACTCCTCATCAAGACCATTGACAATAAACGAGTTGAACTCGGAGTCGGTGAGGGGCTGTCCAATGGAGGCCAGCGTGTCGGCGAGACTCTTGACTTTGTTGTAGAACTCAGTGGCGGTGGAGTCAAGCTTCTGACACTCCCCAAGTTGGCGACGGAGCCCAGATACACGAGCCTGCGACTGTGCCGCAAACGAGCGCTCAAGAATAGTCCATGCCTCGTGGGACGTCTTGGCGAAGACAACAAGCCCAGCAACGGCCGGAGAGAGCGACCCCTGGATGGAGGAGAGGTTCGCCTGATCCTGCCCTGTCCAGACATGGTGAGCCGGATTATAGACCGGACCATGCACGCTGTCAACCAGCGCAGGAGGGCAAGGGAGAGAGCCGTCGACATAGCCAAGCAGGTAGTGACTCCCAAGAAGCGGAAGAACCTGCGCGCGCCAGAAGATGTAATTGTCCGACGACAACTTGATGGTGATGAGATGGCCGAAGTGAAACGGCGGCGGCGGCTGCGATCCCATCGAGGAGACTGGCTGAGGTGAGAACACCGTGGAGACAGTCGGAGGGGCAGCCGGCGCGATGACAGAGGGCGCGATGGCCGCGGTTGACGCCGCGAAGCCTGCCAGCGCGACGTCCTCCGCCACCAGCGGCGCAGTGGCCGAGGGCGCGACAGCCGCGGTTGACGGGGCGGCGGTGGTGTGAGCCACAAGC